TCTTTCCCGGGCAGTCTGGGGTTCCTGCAGCCACTCCGACAGAGGCCCTGGGCCATACGGAGGACGAAACCCGGGATCCCCGGCCAATCGGCACATTTGGAATTCTCACACGGCAACAAAATGGCTCCCACACACTGATGGCCACGGCTTCACTCCAAGCCCCAACAGCCCTTCAGAAGCCATCCTGCGCAAAAGCCCCGCCCCCCGGCCCACCCCTGGGAAAAACACCTGGTGGTGGGAGCCCAGACCGGGGTGTGCCGAGGCCATGAGCCGACTGCACCGCGCTTGGGGTGGGGGGACCCTGGATTAATTAAACAACCTCCTTTCCTCCCATGCGCATCTTTCAAGAAGCACCTGAAACAGGCCAAGAAAAACTGGGAGACAGAAAGGCAGGTGGGGGTGGGTGGTGGGGATGTCCAATTTTGGGAGCTTCTTTGCCCCCCCCCCCCCAGTGGTTTTGCTCTTTTGTATTCTGTCAGTAGAATTCTGCAAGTCAAATAATTTATGGTGACGTGGGACAGACGCACTTAAAATAAACGCCTCCAGAGCACACTGCACAAAGACAGAAAGTGCAGGATGGAAAAGCTGGCTGAAATTGCTTCATGTTTACGCAATGTGCAGGGCTTCCATTGTCTGCAAGCGCCACCCCCACCCCCACTTGCCACAAGGCACCCCTGAGGAAGCCCACAGTCTCCTCGCACATTGCCCAAGAGGCCCCCAGCCCCACGCAGGACCTGAGAAACATGCCAGCAGAAGCCAGACCCCTCCACCAGCCGGCCTGGGAAAACCTCACCCGCGGCGCCCACCCCCTGGACCCACCAGCACGACCACGTCCACGCCCGCCTGCATGAGGAGGTCGAGGCGGTACTTGTCATCCTCGCGTGTGCCGATGGCCGCCCCGCAGAGCAGCTGCTTGCGCGAGTCCTTGGAGGCCAGCGGGTAGTCGCGGTTCTTCTTCAGGTCTGTGCGGGCGATGATGGCCACCAACTCGTCCACGTCGTTCACGATGGGGAGCTTCCCTAAAGGAGTGGTAAAGAAGGGGCCGGTGAGGGGTCGGCGTCTCGGCCTGTGGGCGACACACGCGGGGGAGCGGCCCCAACACTTGGCCTGGAGCAGGCCCCGAGCCCCTGCTGACCCCCCCCTCACCCTGACGGTACCTTTCTTGCTCCGTTGCAGGATCTCGTTGGCCTCCTTTAAGGTGACACCCGCCGGAGCCACAACCAGGTCGTTGCGCTTGGTCATGACCTGCATGGGAAGCCAGGAGTATGGGCGGGGGGGGAGGGTCACCAGCACTCATCCCCCCCCCGGCCTGTTTTGCCAGTCCAGGCTCTCCACAGGACGCTGCCCGCACTTAAGAGCTCACAACCAGCGCTCCCTCTAAGCTGTGGGGTCCTGTGAGCAAAAATCCTACTTGGTGAGCTCCTGGCATTCAAGTTGTGAGCAAGCGATTTGGCTGCTGCATAAATTAGTTTGCCCTGGGGCCATCCTTCCCAAGCTAAGACAATAATGTGTAAGCCGGAGGCTGAAAAACTGTGAGCTAGCTCACTCTAACTGCTCTAGAGCCATCCTTCCCCAGCTAAGACAAAAATGTGTGAGCCGGAGGCTGAAAAACTGTGAGCTAGCTCACTCTAACTCAGCTTAGAGGGAACACTGCTCCGGAGCCCTCCTTCCGGAGCTAAGACAAAAATGTGTGAGCTGGAGGCTGAAAAACTGTGAGCTAGCTCACACTAACTCAGCTTAGAGGGAACACTGCTCTGGAGCCCTCCTTCTGGAGCTAAGACAAAAATGTGTGAGCCGGAGGCTGAAAAACTGTGAGCTAGCTCACTCTGACTCAGTTTAGAGGGAACACTGCTCCGGAGCCCTCCTTCTGGAGCTAAGACAAAAATGTGTGAGCCGGAGGCTGAAAAACTGTGAGCTAGCTCACTCTAACTCAGCTTAGAGGGAACACTTCTCCGGAGCCCTCCTTCCGGAGCTAAGACAAAAATGTGTGAGCCGGAGGCTGAAAAACTGTGAGCTAGCTCACTCTAACTCAGCTTAGAGGAGACACTGCTCACAGCCCCCTCCCACAACCCGCCCCAGCCTGCACTGCACCATACCCCGCCCCACTAGCCCCCCCCCGCAGCCTCAGGATAAGCTCTCCCGGGGGGGGGGGGCTCTTGCCTGGGAGATTCTGCAGGGCCAAGGAAGGGGCCTTTTGCCTCCCCCTCCCCGCACCGCCCTCCCTGCCTGGCCTACCTCGCTGAGGGGGGTGCCGTAGTCCTTCTCAGAAAGGAAGTCGATGTCTCGCGAGGTGACGATGCCCACCAGCTTACTGCCCATCTTGCCCGTCTCCGTGACCGGGATGCCCGAGAAGCCGTGCCGGATCTTGGCCTCGAAGACATCGCCAACCGTGTGGGCGGGGCTGAGCACCACCGGGTCCGTGATGAAGCCCTGCTCAAATTTCTGCAGGGAGGGAAGAAGGGAGGGAGGGAAGAAAGAGGCCTCCTCTTCAAGGAACTGCTCAAGCCCACCTCTGCTTTTGCCACAGAGCCCAGCCGGGCCACGGTCACAACCCTGCCCCTCACGCGGACCCCAGGACCTAGCACCTTTGGGTGTCTGTCGGCTCTGGGTTAGGAACCACCTGGGGATTTCGGGGGGGGGACCTGGGGGGGGCCCAACACCTCAGAAGGGTACGAGGCCATAAAGTTGACCCTCCAAAGCAGCCATTTCCTCCAGGGGAAGTGATCTCTGTGTCCAGGAGATCACAATCCCAGGGAATCTCCAGCAGGACATTCACAAATACCTCCCCCTCCACACCCACAATGACCGCTGTTCCATGCCCAGAAGATGACAAAAAAAACCCTCCAGGATTGTTTCCTGACCCCAAAGTGGCAACCAGCATTTCCCTGGGCATGTAAGAAAGGGCCACGAGAACTAAGCACTGAGGCAACCCTTCCTGCCCTCCCTCTCACAAGCTGCCCAAGTTCACAGGATCAGCATTGCTGTCGGATGGCCACCTAGCCTCTGTTTGAAAACCTCCCTAGAAGGAGAGCCCACCACCACCTACCGAGGAAGCCTGTTCCACTGAGGAACCACTCTTACTGTCAGGAAGTTCTTCCTAATGTTTAGCTAAAAACTCTTCTGATTTAATGCCAACCCGTTGGTTCTGGTCCGACCTCCTGGGGTAACAGAAAACAACTCCGCTCCATCCTCTACATGGCAGCCCTTCAAGTACTTGAAGACAGTTATCGTATCACCTCTCAGTCGTCTTGTTGGAGGTGTGGTGACCAGAACTGTACACGGTGCTCCAAATGCGGTTGCACCATCGATTTATACAGGGGCATCATACTTTGTTTTCAGTCCCCTTCCTAAGAATCCCCAGCATAGCGTTGGCCTTTTTTTTTTAATTGCAGTCGCACACCTGAGCCGGCATTTTCAGTGAGTTATCTACCACGACTCCAAGATCTCTCTCCTGGTCAGTTACTGCCAGTTTGCACCTCATCCACATGTATTCATAAGTTAGGATTTTTGGCTCCAATGCGTGTTCCTTCGCACTTGCCCATGCTGAACCTCCTTTGCCCCGATGATGCCGATTCGTCCAGCCCTGCGCGAACCATGGAGCGAGGAGGGCCAGCACCCACTCCCAGGCTCTGCCACAGACCCCTCCAAGGTTTTGCAGCCAACCCAAGGGGAATGACCCTCCATGGGTCAAGGGGGCCCCTTGCCCGGCATGCCCCACATCCCACGACAGCTGTCGACACACTCCAAAGGCACCCACCTTGACCTTGCGGACCTCGTTGGCCTGGAATTCCGGGGTGCAGTTGTGATGGACGATCCCAATTCCACCCATCAGCTGCAAGAGAGAAGCAGGGAGGAAACCTTGAAGTTGCAGGGACTAAGCGAGAGACACAACGCCACCCGGGACCAGTCTGTGGCGCAGGGGGTGGGTACTGCTCCCCTCAGAGAGCAGGAAAGTACAAGGAGAAAAGGAGAGGAGAGACTGGATTTATACTCCCGCCCTTCAGTACCCGAAGGAGTCTCAGAGCAGCGTACAATCTCCTTTCCCTCCCCCTCCCCACAACAGACACCTTGTGAGGTAGGTGGGGCTGAGAGAGCTCTCTCAAGAACTTCCCTGGAGAGAACAGCTCTGAGAGAACTTGTGACTGAACCAAGGTCACCCAGCTGGCTACATGTGGCAAAGTGGGGAATCAAACCCGGTTCTCCCAGATTAGAGTCCGTGCTCCTAACCACTACATGAAAGGAGAGCCTGTAGCTTAGGCAAGGAGGGAGCCCCCAAGGCAAACACCCCCCCCCAAGGGGCCAGGAGCCCTTCTGGCCCAGGGAAAGGCCACAGAAACCCCCTCGCCTCCAGCCCTGGAGCTCCTCTGCCCGCCCTTTGGGGTGGGGGACAGAGGGGGACTCTTCCTGTCCCAGTGGGCTCGGATGGCAACCTCTGACTCCTCCTCCCCTGAGGCAGAACCCCCCCCTCCACCCCTCGAACGCTCCCCCAACCCCCGTCTCAGAGAGGACGCCGGATCCGGCCTGGCCAGGAAGGGCTCAGCACGAAGCTTGTGTGGGGGGGACTTATCTGGGTGAGGGGAGGAAGCAGCACGCGCCACTCACCGCCATGGCGATGGCCATGTCCGACTCGGTGACGGTGTCCATAGGGGAGGAGATGAGCGGGGTCTTCAGGGTGATTTTGCGGGTCAGCGCCGAGGTCAGGTCCTGCAGAGAAGATGAGGAGGAAACAGCTGTCTGCTCGGGACGCCCCCATCCAGGTGTGCCCACCCCGCACAGGGTCAGAGGACACACCACACGCGTGGGGCCGTGCCTCTTCCGCCACCATCAGGACCCAGGGAAGCTCTCACTAGTGGCGCGGGGGGGGGGCTGATGGGGAGCAGCAGGCACGAGTGCTCCCATGGAACTGCCATTGCAGGCATCGTGCCGGCCTCTCAGAAGCCTAAACGGGCCGTCTATCCCAGCCCTGCCAACAGCGCAAGGGGCAGCAAGCCCCGGCTTAGCCAGGAAGGCTGCGGGGTGGGGAGTGGGAAAGCAACCCCTGACCCCGCCGCCGCCAGAGCCCCCCGCCAGCCTCCACACTCCACACACTCCACACCAATGCTCCCTCTAAGCTGTGGAGTCTTGTGAGCAAAAATCCTACTTTGTGAGCTCCTGGCATGAAAGTTGTGAGCGAGCCATTTGGCTGCTGTGTAAATTAGTTTGCTCTGGAGCCATCCTTCCTGAGCTAAGGCAAAAACGCGTGAGCCTAGAGATGGGAAGGCCTGCAAAAAAACTGGAAAAATTCGGGAAAACACCATTCCCCCCCCCCCACTTTTTTCCTGAAGCCTTTTTTTCTGGAAAACTGGAAAAATTGAAAAAAGAAAAGGAAAAAAAAATGAATAAAATATTTTAAGACAAGGTGTTCAACTATTTTCCAAATCATTTCTAAAAGATATGTATGGTATCAGATTAATCTAATTTCTGTGCACTGAGGACAAGCAAGTCCTAGGTTACAAACTGAACTCTCCAATGGACAATGACAGACACAACAGAGTAGCTGCAGAAGCAGAGACTGAATCTGATACTGATACTTACAGCTCAAAAAATGATTCTGATTAAATTTCATGCCCATTCATTGAAACTTAGTCCCACACGTCCTTCTATACACTTCCCCCCACTTCAGTTCTTTTTATGAGAATGGTTTTTTTTTGTTATTTAATACTGTGGAGAGGAAATATGAATAATTGTTACTTCTGGATTTTTAAAAATTGTTTTGTAGAGGTTTTTTTGTCTGTTCCACATAAACTAGTAAACAGTTCAGGAGATTGTTGCTCCATTTGTTACAATTACAAATAAATATTATTTAAAAAGTAAATTCTGTTTGTAATAACTGTTTGGATACACTATATTTTTAATAGGCTAGTTGTGATAACTTCATGCCAAGTAAAATTGTCCATAGTCATATTTTATGTTCCTAAAGTAACAGAATGGCTTTCAGTCTGGAAAAGAAAAAAGAAGTGCTAATGTAGCATTTTTTCAATTTTTCTGAAAATTTCCATTTCCGCTGAAAAAAACTGGGGAAAAACTGGGGTTTTTTTCCCGAGCTTCAAAATTTCCAGAAATTTTACATCTCTACGTGAGCCGGAGGCTAAAAAACTGAGAGCTAGCAGCTTAGAGGGAACGCTGCTCCACACGCCACCTGCAGCGGCTCAGCCCCCCTGCCTGGCCTGACCTTCACCAAGCCAGCTGGGAGATCGATCACCGGGGTGGGCACACACACACACACCAGCCTCAGCAGCTTCTCTCCGCAGGGCCACTTTCCCAAACAGCCGCTTGGTAGGAGCCATTCCGGAACGCCCAATAAAAGACTATCAAAGCCCCGTCAGAATCGGCTCCCACCCACCCTCCGGCCCCATCCCTCTGGCAAACTCGGACAGAGAGAAGGGGGCCAAGAAGGAGCATGACCTGTGAGCGCAGGAGGCTGAGACGGGGACAGGAGGGGGGAGAACCGGGCTTCCCACATTGCCGGCACTCCTCCACATCCTTGGGGAAGCGGCTGCCCCCCCCCACTCACTCCTTGCCCTCCCAGCTCAGCAGCAGGACAACCGGCCTCCACGGGGTTATTGCGGAGGGGGCCCAGTCAATCAAAGCCGCCTGCCCACTCGGAGAGGCACAGAAGCAGAAGGCAGCTCTAGGCAGAGGCGAAGAGAGCAAACTCGGCCAGCGGGGGGGGGGGATGAGGACACAGGTCTCCAAAACTGGAATCCATTGCAAGAGTTGGGGGAGGAGAGAGAGGAAGCCACGTGCCCTGGGAGTCTGTCACAGAGGCCCAGCTGCAGCAGAAGGACCAGGAGGCCAACACGGAGGGCTAAAAAACAGTGAGCCAGCTCACACTCACTCAGCTGAGAGGGAGCACTGCCCCAGACCTGACCCAGCCAGCCCTGGCTCACCCACAGCTCCTGCTGGAGGAGCAGCCCCGGCTTAGTCTTTAAGGGTCCACCCCGTGGCTGCATCAGACTGCCAAAGCTACAGCTCTGGGATCCTGGCTGTGGCGAAGGGCTCCCGGCATAAGGAAGGCGGAGTCCACAGCCACCCCCTAGAGGGGCCCTCCAAGACACCACAGTGGGGCACGCGCCAGCAGAGCATTCGAACTCACCACCTCGTCCGCTGTGAAGTCGATGAAGCCCGGGAGGATGAGGAAGTCACTGTGGAGAGAGAGAGAGAGAAACGAGCCGCCATCAGACCTGCTCCCCCCCCCCCCCCCCCCCTGCCCAGGGGCAGGGGGAGCGAGGGACCGGTCCGGGCCCAGCAAAAGCGTGGCAGAGGGATTTCGGCTCCAGAGTCTTCCTCCGCAGGAAGGAAAACAGAACGCTGCCTCGAGCACAGCGACCGCGCGGCCAACGTGAGGGGCACGAGGCACTGGATCAGGGCAGCTGGCAGCAGACACAGGAAGGTGCCGGGTTCGAGTCCAGGAGCGCCTCACACACCAGGAAGGCTTTCAGGGCAGGCGCTCTCCAGACTCAACGCTCCCTTGACTCTCGAAAGTTCACCCCCACCCCCAAGGACCTGGTCAGGCTCCAAGGTGCTCCTGGACTCAAACTGTTGGGTTTAAAAAGGAAAAATTGGTATTTAGCAGAGATAAGATAGTCCAGCAGTGCCGGAGTAAAATAATTCAGACTGAGAGTCCACGTGTGATTAAAATATAAGGTTTTTACTAAATTCTAGCATGGGGAAGGGTGACTGGGATGAAAATAACAACAGAGCAAAATTGGCTACATCCTTACACTACAAAGACAAAGCTAGGAGAGAGAGGTTATGGCTTCCCTTCTTTTTCTTCAGAACAGCAAAACAAAGATGGGAAGAGAAGCCATAAAATGCTAATACACCTTGACACTTTAGTCCCAATCAAACTCTTAGATCAGGGAGAATTTCCCAGGCTTCCAGCATCTACACTAACATTGGTTACATGGGAAACGTGTGACTTCCTGTGAGCAACACAAACAAACATTTAACCCCAGATACACTGAGTGTAATTTAACTTGTCATACCCAACACAAACCCGGCTGCTCTGCAGACCCAACCGAAAGCTCCACCCCCTTCCGAACTTTTAGCTGCTGCCACGTGGCCAAGTCCACAGGCTGCCCCGGGAGCAGGAGGCAGCGCTCCACAGGGATGGCCATCGGTTGGCACAGAAGGCCCCAGATCGGGTCACGCTACTCCTGGGGGGGAGGGGGAGCGAGACAGTTGTCTCGCACAAAAGGAGCATGTGGCAGAAGAAGGGAGGACTGGATTTATACCTCACCCTTCACTCAGAGAGGCTCACAATCTCCTTTCCCTTCCCCTCCCCACAACAGACACCCTGTGAGGTCGGTGGGCCTGAGAGAACTCTTTCGAGGACTGCTCTTGAGAGAACAGCTCTGAGAGAACTATGGCTTGCCCAAGGCCATCCAGCAGCTGCAAGAGGTTGCAAGGGAACAGGAGGCTCTGCTCTTAGCAGCAGACCCTCGCATTTGGAAGAAAATGCTTTCTAGACAAAGCCTCCCAGCAGCACAGGAGAAACAAGAAACCCAGGGACAGAGGACTGTACTGACGGCCATGGAGCATCTGTGTGCACAAGCCACGGGCACTGGGGCGGGGGCAGCGGTCCGAGGGGGTGCCAGGGCTGGCCTTCGAAGATTTCCACCCTGTTTGCAGGGAGGGAGATTTAAAGCAGGCAGCGGGACACGCCCCTGGCCGAAGACTGCCAGGCAGGGCAGCAGACCACAGGGGCGGCATCTCAGCAGAGACCGTCTGTGTTACACCCGCAGATGAGAGAGGGGGCAGATGGGGAGCAAGGCTCCCTCTAAGCGGTGGAGTCTTGTAAGCAAAAATTCTACTTGGGTGAGCTCCTGGCATGACAGTTGTGAGCGAGCGATTTGGCCACTGCATGAATTCATTTGCTCTGGAGCCACATCCTTCCTGAGCTAAGACCAGAATGTGTGAGCCAGAGGCTAAAAAACAGTGAGTTGTCCCACACTAACTCAGCTTAGAGGGAACACTGGGGAGTGCTGAGCCGTCACCTCCCCGCCTTAAAGTGCTTTGCTCCGATGGCCCTCTTTCCAGACCCTGACTGGAGAGATCTGCCCAGCCGGGTAGCAGGAAGCGCAGAAAGGGGGCGGGAAAAGACCTGCGGGGAGAGCGCCCTTCTGCCCCTGGCCACTCAGGGGGGAGGGGACACTCGGCCACAATGACCCCTAGTCCAAGATGGACCTTCCCCTCCACCCTGAGCTTGCCTCACACCCCACTGAAGAAGCCCAGAGCCGGTGACCACCACCCCTGTACACCCTGCGCCGCTGAGTGAGTGCCGAACGGTCATTACGCCCTTGGTGAAGAACTTTCATCTCCTGTCTCCTGAACCAAATGCCCATCGGCTTCATTGGATGCCCCTGAGCTCAAGGGCTATCGAAAAGGGGGGGAGTTTTATGACCACTTCCCACCCTACGCATATTATTATTATTATTATTATTATTACTACAATCAGTTTTTATACCGCTCAGACTCGAAGGTCTCAGAGCGGTTTACAGATATGTTGCAAGTGCAAGTTAATTCCCTAGGCTATGGCCACATATGTTACAGTGGGTGGGGCAGCCTACCGGCACCCAGGTGGTGGGTTAGCTGTTCCCCGACTCTCTTCCTTCAACGGTCCACTGGGGTCAGCGTCCCATTCTTTTTTTTGCTGTCTAAGGCCAGTCTTCTTAGCTCCGTGATCTTCTGGCACGCGGCCCGTAGCAGCCCCGGCCCGGCTATGTCCACATTCGGCTCCACCGCGCCTGTGCTGTTTAGGTCACCATGCGCTCTTCCACTACACCTCCACCTTTGCCGTCACTGAGCGCCGAATGCTTCTGCTTTTTCCTTCTGGCTGCCAGGGATCGCCGCACCATTACTCCGCCGCCACTGCCGCCGTCGCCGATGTTCCCACCACATCCCCACTTGGAGGAGGGTGCCCCCTACCCTTCTAAGGGCAGGTACCCATTTATCTACTTGCTTTTATTGTTCTTACTTTCTTTCGAACCGCTGGGTAAGCGGGAGCTAGGACTAGGGCCGGGAGCTCACCCTGGCCGCGGTGGGTCTTGAACAGCCATAGGGCTGTTCGCTATGTTAATGCATGCGTTTTACAGCTTTCGCCACCGCTCCCTTATACACCTCTATCATGGCCGACCCCAACTTCTCCTTCTGCAGTCTTTCCTTACACCTCTCAGTCCTTTGGATGACCCCTTCCAAGCACCACAACATCCTGTTTGAGATCCGCTACTGGGGTCCAGTACCCCAAATGTATCACACACGGAGCAACACCACAGTGTCGGGGCTTCATGGGGCATTTTGCTTTCAGTCCCTTCCCTAGGTTCGAGTCCAGGCACACCTCAGAGACCAACCGGAGGCTGGACGACCCTCTTTCGGGTATGTTGTGGGGCTCTCTTTCGGCTCTGCTCCTGCAGAGGGCAGGGGGCTGGACCAGATGACCTGCAAGGTCCCAGTTCCAATTCTAACATTCGATGATTCTATGACTGTCTTGCTCCAGATTGCAAGACTAGATCTAATGGGTGGAAATTACAAGGGAGTCCTTACCGGCTAAATATCAGGAGAAACTTCCTAACTGCCAGAGTGGTTGAGCAGTGGAACAGGCTGCCTCGGGAGGTGGTGGAGGCTCCTTCGCTGGGCGTTTTCAAGCGGAGGCTGGACGACCATCTTTCGGGTATGTTGTAGGGCTGTCTTTCGGCTCTGCTCCTGCAGAGTGCAGGCGGTTGGACTAGATGACCTGCAAGGTTCCTTCCAGCTCTAACATTCTATGATTCTATGAAACCAAAGTCCCTGGCCTAAATCTCTAGCACGTATGCACAAATTCCACAGCACCTCCCCTCATGCCAATCCTCGCGGGACCCCCCCCCCCGCTTACTTCCCTCCATTACGGTCTGTTCGCTCTTCCCACTCTTCTGTTGTTTAACCAACTTCTAACCCATCAGCAGCCCTGTCTTTTTATCCTCAGCTGCTCAGGAGCCTTCGGTGAGGGACAGGGCGTCCCTCTGTCAGGTCTCCCTTGCCCACATACCTGTTGGGTCCAAGGCTCCCTCTAGGCTGTGGAGTCTGGTGAGCAGGAATTCTACTTTGTGAGCTACTGACATTAAAATTATGAGTGAGCAATCTGGCTACTGCATAAATTAGTTTGCTCTGGAGCCATCCCTTCCTGAGCTAAGACAAAACTGTGTGAGCCGGAGGCTAAAAAACTGTGAGCTAGCTCACACTAATGCAGCTTAGAGGGAACGCTGGTTGGGTCCCAGGCTTGTGGGGGGGGGGGGCCTGCACCACCAGACGCTCATTTATTCTCTCATCAAGGAGCGTTTCCACCCGTTTACTAGGACCAGCTAATCAACACAATCCTCTTTAAATGCTGGTGTTACAGTTGCTACACAGGAGTAGCAACAGAAGCAGCAGGAGGAGGAAATGAATGGGTGCCTGAGCTTCAGGGACTGGGGTTGGGGGGGGCACTCTGGCACCCAGTTTGGCCTCGACGCCCCCCCCCCCATCGAATGCCTGTGACCTCCATAAAACGACTGCTGCCTTGACAGAACTGACTGCCACAGAATCGCTGTAAGCAGCTTATTTGAAAAGGCGACGCAAGTGGCCGGCAGACAGACCTCTTCCGGTTCCATCAGATCCCAGGAGAAAGACACGGAGGGGGCTGGTGGTCCCGTAGAGCGCCGATCCTGCCCAGAGGCATTTACGGTGGCTCGTAGGGTTGCCGACGTCTGTGTAGCAGCTGGAGATCTCCGGACGGCACCCATCCCTCATTAATCAGTTTATTTAAAACATTCACTCCGCTTCTCCTGGAGAAAACGGCTGCTTTGGAAAGTGGACTGCAGGGCATTACACCCCCCCAAGTCCCCCCCTCCCTCAATCCTGCTCTCCCCAGCTTCACTCTCAGATCTCCAGGTATTTCCAGACCCGGAGCTGGCAACCCTGGAGGGCCAGGCTTAGGCATCAGTGGCTATTAGCCACAAGGTATAGATAGGGACTCTGGGGCAAGGGATGCTCTGTCTTCTTGGTGTTTTGGGGGGGCTAACAGTGGGAGGGGCTTCTAGTGTCCTGGCACCACTGGTGGACCTCCTGAGGGCACCTGGTATTTCTGGCCACTGTGTGACACAGAGTGTTGGACTGGATGGGCCTTTGGCCTGACCCGACATTGGCTTCTCTTATGTTCTTATATGGAGCAGAGGTCCATCAGTGGCTCTTAGCCACAAGGTATAGATAGGAACTCTCAGTCTGGGGCAAGGGATGCTCTGTGTTCTTGGTGCTGGGGGGGGAACAGTGGGAGGTCTTCTGGAGTTCTGGCCCCACTGCTGGACCTCCTGAGGGCACCTGGTATTTCTGGCCACTGTGTGACACAGAGTGTTGGACTGGATGGGCCTTTGGCCTGACCCGACATTGGCTTCTCTTATGTTCTCATATGGAGCAGAGGTCCATCAGTGGCTATTAGCCACAAGGTATAGATAGGAACTCTCAGTCTGGGGCAAGGGATGCTCTGTCTTCTTGGTGCTTGGGAGATGACAGTTGGGAGGGGCTTCTAGTGTCCTGGCCCCACTGCTGGACCTCCTGATGGCCCCTGATGTTTTTGGCCACTGTGTGATACAGAGTGTTGGACTGGATGAGCCATTGGCCTGATCCAGCATTGGCATCTCTTATGTTCTTATGGCCGGCTGTTGAAGGGATCCACACCCGTCTTCAGTTTTAACTGTCAGCTAAAGCAAGTGCAGAAGTCTCAAGGTATCTACTGCGTTAGACCTCCTCCGAACCACCCAGTCTCCATCTTGAATGCTGCTAGGGGTGGGAGATTGCCAGAAATTCTGAACCTCCAGGGTGAGGAAACCTGTTTTCCTCTAGGGGAGTTTTCCCGGGGGGGGAAACATATATGGGGTGTGTGTGTGTGGAATTGAAATATATACAATACTTTCCTATCAAACCTAAACATCTTTTCCTGATCTAACAATACAAAATGCATCATTTATAACCTAGCATTTAAATTGTACCACTTGGCATATTTATGGAATTTAAAATAGAAAAAGTCTCGGCTCTATACAAAAAGTGACAAGTATTGAGAAAAGAGTTGCAAACTACTGAACCCTATGCTAACGCAGCACACCTATCTCGATTTCTGCTACCTGAGACGAGGGGGCAAAAGTTGGAAAACAAATTATCTAGTAATAAAAAAATGTATTATTTGGACAAAAACACTTTCACACAGTCAGCTGGTAGGGCTAAGAACACCAGAAGAGCCCTGCTGGATCAGACCAGTGAGGGTCCATCTAGTCCAGCATACCGTCTCAAACAGTGGCCAACAACAGGGCAGAGAGGCCGAGGCCTTCCCCTGATGCTGCCTCCTGGCTCTGGGAGGATTAGTGCCTCTGAATTTGGAGGTTCCCCTCAGTCACTATGGCTTTGTTGTTGTTCAGTCGCACAGTCGAGTCCGACTCTTCACGACCTCATGGACCGGCTCCCGCCAGGCCCTCCTATCTTCCGCCGTCCTCTGAAGTTGGCTCAATTTCATGTTAGTTGCATCTATGACACTGTCTAACCATCTCATCCTTTGCCGTCCCCGTCTTCTTCGACCTTCAATCTTTCCCAGCATCAGGGTCTTCTTCTCCAGCGAGTGCTCCCTTCTCATTGGGTGGCCAAAGTATTTGAGCTTCAGTATCATTATCTGGCCTTCCAGGGAACAGTCAGGGTTGATTTTTTTTAGGATTGACTGATTTGATCTCCTGGCAGTCCAGGGGACTCTCAAGAGTCTTCTCCAGCACCATAGTTCAAAAGAATCTATTCTTCAGCGCTCGGCCTTCCTTATAGTCCAACTCTCGCAGCCATACATGACTACTGGGAATACCATTGCTTTGACCATGCGGACTTTTGTTGGCAGGGTGATGTCTCTACTTTTTATCATGCTGTTTAGGTTCGCCATCGCTTTCCTCCCAAGGAGCAGGCGTCTTTTAATTTCATGGCTGCTGTCACAGTCTGCGGTGATCTGGGATCCCAGGAACGTGAAGTCTGTCACTACTTCCACGACTTCCCCTTCTATTTGCCAAGGAGTGATGGGGCCGGATGCCATGATCTTAGTTTTTTTGATGTTGAGCTTCAAGCCCACTTTTGCGCTCTCCTCTTTCACTCTGAGCAAGAGGCTCTTTAGGTCCTCTTCACTTTCTGCCATTTCTGTCACTATGGCTACCAGAACACTAAGCTATCAAGTTAAACTAGCACTGAAGACATGGCACTCTTTGCTAATTCATTAGCATGAGGCTGGTCCTGCATTGGGCAGGGGGTTGGAATTAGATGATCTGTATGGCCCCTTCCAACTCTATGGTTCTATGATTACATATATTATAGCACATTGTTGCTATGACCATTTACCTTCAAAAAAGTCTTGAAAATGTTGTAGATGTCTACAGTACACAGACGAATTATCTTCAATTGTAGAACATCATGTAGTATAGAATTTTTTTTAAATGTAGGATGTTTTGAGTAAAACCTGGTCTCCCAAAGAATTTCACTCATTCCCAAAGGAAGAAATAAAACAGTGTTTTTTTTAATGCTCCCCACATTTCCCAGTTTTCCCATAGGAAAAATGGAGGAAGTCCTCAGACATTTTCAGGCTATACGTTTTGAGCGACAAAAGCCTTGCCTTAGAAGGCATTCCACTCATTCTAAAAAAAGGGAACGTATTTGACAGTAGTTCCGTCCCCTCCCCCAATTTCTCCTTTGATAAAAAAGGCCTTGGGGGAAAATGGGATTCCCCCCCCATCTTCTTTTGGGGGGGCGGGGCTTCACATCTCTTAGGCGCCACACAGCCAGCTTTGACGGGCACTTGGCCATGCTTTGGGACTTGCAGCTGTCAGAA